GAGGGTCCCTACTCCTCTCAGTGGCAGGTAGTTATGGATGCAGAGATGGCTTCCTGGAAGTCCACAGGCACCTACGTTGACGCGGTTCCCCCTCCTGGGGCGAACATCGTCAGTGGCATGTGGATCTTCAGGGTGAAGCGGCCGCCGGGCTCTCCACCTCTCTTCAAGGCGCGGTACGTCGCTCGTGGCTTCAGTCAGCGGCAGGGAGTTGACTACTTTCAGACCTTCTCTCCCACCCCGAAGATGACCACTCTTCGGGTGCTGCTGCACATAGCCGCTCAGCGCGACTACGAGCTTCACTCTCTCGACTTCAGCACTGCGTTCTTGCAGGGTAGCCTGCACGAGAAGATCTGGCTGCGCCGTCCACCTGGCTTCACTGGGACTTTCCCTCCTGGCACCCAGTGGAGCCTCCGACGGCCAGTCTACGGTCTCCGCCAGGCACCGCGTGAGTGGCACGACACACTGAGGACTACGCTTGCGGCTCTTGGGTTTGCTCCTTCTACTGCTGACCCGTCGCTGTTTCTGCGCACCGACACTTCACTGCCGCCGTTCTACATCCTCGTGTACGTCGACGACTTGGTCTTTGCCACAGCGGACACTGCTGGACTCGCCTACGTGAAGTCCGAGCTGCTGAAGAGACACACGTGCACAGACCTGGGTGAGCTGCGCAGCTACCTTGGCTTGCAGATCACTCGGGACAGAGCACGCCGCACCATTACCTTGACTCAGTCACACATGGTGCAGCAGGTCCTTCAGCGCTTCGGCTTCACGTACTCCTCGCCTCAGGCCACTCCTCTGTCTACCTGCCACTCACTCTCAGCTCTGCCTTCGGATGAGTCCGTAGAGTCGAGTGGCCCGTACCCAGAGCTTATTGGCTGCCTCATGTACCTGATGACCTGCACACGACCTGACCTTGCATACCCTCTTAGCATTCTTGCACGCTATGTTGCTCCTGGGAGACACCGACCAGAGCATATGGCTGCAGCGAAGAGGGTATTGCGCTACCTGTGCAGTACGTCGGGCATGGGGCTAGTGCTTGGAGGGCGGAGTTTAGTGGTCCTTACAGGTCATGCGGACGCTTCTTGGGCTGACGACCAGGCTACGCAGCGGTCGTCACAGGGTTACACCTTCAGCCTTGGTTCCGGCTCTGTCTCGTGGCGGGCTACTCGTTCGTCTTCGGTTCTCAGCTCCAGCTGTGAGGGTGAGATCTACGCAGAGGCCATGGCTGCACAGGAGCTTCGCTGGCTCACCTACCTGCTGACTGACCTTGGAGAGCCGCCTCGTTCTCCTCCAGTGCTGTACGTAGACAACAAGGCCATGCTGGCCTTGTGTCGAGAGCAGCGTCTGGAGCACAGAACGAAGCACATTGCTCTTCGCTACTTCCTTGCTCGTGAGCTATAGCAGCGTGGACAGTTGCGGCTTGCGTACGTGGCCTCTGAGGCCAACACTGCTGATGTGTTCACCAAGGCACTCGCGCCTTGTGACCATCAGCGCTTCTGCACCCAGCTGGGTCTTGTGCCTGTCTTGCCTCACTTGCTCTCCTCTTGACTTTACTTGTACTGTGACATATATATACCTGCTCTTGCTTGTCTAGCTTTATATATATGTCTGTACTCTTGCATGTGAACTGGCCTTTGGCCTTGCTCTTGTGCTCGGACTGTGTGGTGACTTTGTGATCCACCCTGAGCTTTGCTTTGCTTTGCTTGACTGGTCTTGTGACCCCTTGTTCTCCCCCACTTTGCCTATGGGGGTGTGTCAGAACATATATATAGCTTATACTATTGTGTAGGCTGTAGTGGGGTATCCCATAGGGGGTATAACCAGTTAGGGTTTCCTATTTGTACTCACTTCATTCATAGTTCATTCATTCTCGTTCTATTCTCAACATTCTGTTCTCAGCTCTAGTTGTGAGGCTGAGATCTACGCCACAGCCATGGCTGCACAGGAGTTACGCTGGCTTATCTACCTGCTGACCGACTTGGGAGAGAGGCCTCGTTCTCCTCCAGTTCTGTACGTCGACAACAAGGTTGCCATTGCCTTTTGTCAGGACCACAGACTTGAGCACAGAACGAAGCACATCGCTCTGCGTTACTTCCTTGCTCGAGAGTTGCAGCAGCGTGGTCAGCTTCGTGTCGCTCACGTGCCCACCCGGGCCAACACTGCTGATGTGTTCACCAAGGCCCTTTCGGCTGGTGATCATCAGCGCTTCTGCACTGCTCTAGGCCTGGTGCCTATGTTTCCTCACTTGTTGTAGACTCTGGTTGTACTGTGATCTATATATGTATACCTGCATGTTTACTCTTGCTAGGTAGTGATCACTGTACTGATGTTGTTGCATATATAACTCTGCATGTGAACTGACCTTGTGGCCCCTTTACTTGTGCTCAAGTGTGTGGTGACGTTGTGATCCACCCTGAGCATGCTTTGCTTTGATTTTCTTGACTGGTCTTGTGACCCCTTGTTCTCCCCCACTTTGCCTATGGGGGTGTGTCAAACTATGTATGTGTTAGTTCTGTGTAGGCTATAGTGGGGTAGCCCATATAGGGTACAACCCTAAGTTAGGGTTAGTACTTGTACCGACATTTCATTCAATGCAACACTCCTGCTTGCTATCTTGACAAGAGGGTACTGCGTTATTTGTGCAGTACATCGGGCATGGGGCTCATGCGTGGAGGACGGGGTCTGGTGGTCCTCACAGAACACTCTGACGCTTCTTGGGCCGACGACCAGGCGACTTCGCGTTCGTCACAGGGTTACACTTTCAGTCTTGGCTCTGGTTCTGTCTCGTAGAGGTCCACTCGTTCTTCTTTTGTGCTTCGCTCCAGCTGCGATGCTGAGATCTACGCTGGGGCCATGGCTGCACAGGAGCTACGCTGGCCACATTCTAGGGGCCATCCCCTAGTGGGTACAACTCATTTTGCTCGATAGTCTTGTACCAACCTTCCTCACCTAATCGACATTCATCTCCTTAGGTCAACAAGAAGGTTCCTAGAAAGAAGGTTCCTAGAACAAGGGCCTCACATAAAAGTATACCCAACAATTTAGGCCGCACCCTAGATTTAGTCTTAGATTGACAGGACAACCATATGTGGATTTAGGGCAAGGGCTCAAACACGGTTTCGAAACTGAGGACGAGCCACGCCCTAGCGAGTTGTGAACAGTACACAGCATCCAAATCACAAGGGTGAGGTTTGTCCAGATACGATGAAACTTGCACGGCATCCCCAGCCATAGTTTCTTTGCGTCTCGGTCGGTCAGGTCCAAGAACAAGACATGCCTCCCTCGCTCTGACTCAGCCTGGGACCCCGAATGAACGGCGCGGGTCGACGGTGGGCGGAGGACCTCTCGGTTCGGATGAGATTAGTGCAGTTTCGTTCTTGATGTGACACTACTGTCTGGTCTGCCACAGCTGTTTTCCTCCAAAAACGCGGGAACTTCGGTCATCCAAGTTCTTTCCCGAACCACGAGATCCAACCTCATTCCTTACCAGTTTCCCCCTCAGTGTGAAGGCGACGAGTCATTCGATGCCAACGCGGACGGAGTCCACGCACTTTCGATGACCAAGGTTCGTTCCACCACTGAGCGACGCCAAATCTGGACACGTTCACCAATAAGGTTTTCCCTGGCCACAACCACCAAATTGTCACAGCTGGTAACCAGTCGGCCAGCAGTCATCAGAACGTAACGACTACGGCAATTTCGAGTCGCCTTTCTTGCATCCTGCCAAACATCCGAGCCAAGGCAGCCCGCCAACAGCCTTCCACCTGAACCATGCCAGACACGCCGCGGTCGTCCTTGCCTGATCCCCCAAACTACGGAAACGAGTCCACGATTTTCGCATATACTTTCGTAATTAGCGAACCACTCATTTCCAGTTTCGAAGAAGTCGCAAACCGTTTCGCTATTCTGTTCCCCACATTCCAACAGCATGAAGTTCCGTTGCCTTCAGCGTTCTGGCCCATACTTTCTCCTCCACTCCCCTTAGCTTTTCCCTTCGCCTCTCCCCAACTGTCACCTTGGTTCGGTTATTTGGTAGAAACGACACATGTCTCTGACCTTCTGAAGCCGTTCACTCACGAATTAAGCTTGAGATAAGATGGCAATGCAGCTTTCATGGCCCAATTAGTCGCGTCTTTCTCCTCCAATATACGAAAGTTACTTGTCACACCGATTTCACTTCTTCGCAATAGCCTAAAAATCGGCAGTATAGGTCCCGCATCCATAGCACTCGCCAGTAGGCCCGCCGATTCTCAAGCACTTGCTCGTCGCCGATCTCGCGCAGTAACATTTACAGCTTCGTCCAGCTCCGGCGATACTGAGCAGGAAAGTTCGGAGGATCCCAAGTCAGCGAGCATGGCGAACATGAAAGACGGCCTCGCGAGGAAAGGGACATTCCGCTCGGATTATGGATACAGGTGACCCATCCTTACCACTCTGACCACTCCTCTCACAACGGTAAATTCTCCACGTGGCGAATTACGCTTCCCCTCAGCGTGTTCGCTAGACGAGAGTTCCGGAACTAGCATTTCCCCACTAGCCAAGCTTCAACATCATCGGCTTGCCAGAATCGGCCTATACAACATCCACGAGTGAATCAGTAACGAATAGCGCACAGCGAAACTATCAGCGTCCCGGCTCCATCAGAAAAAATCGCTTCTCGCAGCTCATACGTCGGCTCCTCGTCTCCCCTCCGATTTCCTTCAGTTTTCCCACACTCCGTTTGACACTCCTCTCCCCTCCCCTCACCGAACCCGCGTCCCATCTTTCCCCTCCGCCCCGTTGCCCGATTGCGCAACTCTTTACAATTTCCTCTTCCCATTCTTCCGAGCACCCCTCCGATAAGGACATAACAATAGTCCGCGCAGAGCGGTGATACCGCGCGAGCGAAGCGAATCGAGTCGTCGGACCCGCTTACCGTTGCCTGTTTTCCCTGGATTGTCGCGCTTGTCTCCTCCTCCCTTCCACCAGAGCTTCCTCTGGCATGGCAGCCGCCGCGAGCAATGGGAATCGGCCAATTCATTGCTCCCTCTCCTCCTCCCCTCCTCCTCCCCCCTCTCCGCTCCACCCCCCTCCTTCCGCTTCCCCCTCCATTTCCTCCCTTCCCCTCCTTCTTCCCCCCTTCACTCCGCTTCCCCATCCGCCCTTCCCCCGTTGCCAACCTCCCAGAGCTTCCCCCGACATGGCGGCAGCGCGCGCAGAGGCGCTGCTGCCGCGCGAGCGGAGCGAGTGTAACCTGCAGGGCGGGCACGAGCAGCACCTGCACCACCACCACCACGGCTTCGGCGACAAAACCATCACGTTCTGGGGGTGAGTGGATGGGCTGGGGTGAGCCGACGGGTTGGGGTGTACGGATGGATTGGGGTTGAGACTCTGGACTCTGGTTCTCGAGTCACCTCGAAGGGCACGAGCAGCGCCTTCGCGGACGAGCTGGCTGCCTTACATTATGAACTGTAATCGCTTCGGCATCTCTCTTACACTCCCCTCCCTTTCCCCCACAGCTCCCCCACTCGCACTTACTCCTTACCGCACTCTCACCCTCACCCCCGCCTAACCCCCACACAGATTCTGCGTGATAAATTTTCATAATGTTTTCTGCTGCTGCTGCTAGCCCTTAGCCACACTCCCACCCATTCCTTCCCGCTCCCTTCCACCCATCCGCCGTCAGATCTTGCGTGCTCAACTTCAATAATATTACGGGACCAGCGGTCGTAGTTCTCCCGTTGCTATACGCACAAGCGGGATGGTTTTTACCAACCGCCGGGCTCACGCTCATGTGGCTGTTTTCGTCGTTTGCGGCCACGATGATGTGCGAAGCGCAGCAGCGAATTCCGGGTAACAAGGGTTTCGCCAGGCGGTTTGAGTACTGCACGCTCGTGCGGCATTACTTCGGCGATCGGTGGTACGCGCTCGCGCAGATTGGGTTCAACGCGGGGCTGCTCGCTTCGAACATCGCGTCCATGATTGTTACATCGCAGGTACAGTGAAAAAGAACGAAGGCGAAAAATGCATTGTAGTGATGTGCATGTGCAGTATGAACTAAGGGCAGTTTTTGCATAAAACCTTTCTTAATGTGATTAATTTCTTGATTGATCATTATTACATCCTGGCGCATATTAGACATGTTCTACTGGCACAGCCTGTAAATTCAAGCTAGAAATAGCAGAGCTCCAAATAGTCAACTGAATCGCTACCCCTTTCTCCCCTCCCACGCTCCCCCCAATCCCCCCCCCTCTCTTCACACAAACACGCACAGGTTCTAGACTCAGTGGTATACCGCCTAGCCGGTACCTTATATGGCATGGACTATGGCCAGTGCCGCCCACATTTGGGTGATCACCCTTGCACCCACCTTTCAACCCCCCGTTGCACAAAAACTTGCAGGTCCTAGACTCGGTGGTGTATCGGCTAGCTGGCACATCGTATGGCATGGACTATGGGCAGTGGCCGCCCGCGTTTATTGAGTCCCTTGCAACGGGAGGGGCGGGAGGGAATGTGTGCGCATGGGGGACCACCAGCAGCGGTGACTGCAACCGATCGGTGATCTCCCTGGGGTGAGTGAAGGAGAGGGAGTTTAAAAGAGGCGGACAAGAAAGGAGTGGACTGGGAGGAAGGGAGAGGTAAAACTAAACCCTATACCCTGGCCTAAACCTCGCAATGGCAGGGAGAAGAAGCAATGACATGGAGAGGGTTTTTAACTGTCGGAAAGTATCACTGTGTTCGGCTTTACCGTTCAGGTCATACGGTTAAGGGTTCAGGGTTTCGGGTTAACGCTAACTCTTACTCTCCATTCAGCCTTGTGCTGGCAATGGTTCTCAGTATCCTCACTTCGTTCTTCACGTGTGTTCCCATTCCCTCAGCTTTGCCGGTTTTTTAGGTGCCTAAAAAAAAAATACAATGTATCTCGACCTATCCCAGTCCTTAACTTTCTTCGCACAGATTTTCATTTCTCTCCTCACGTGTGCTCCCACTCCCTCAGATTCGTCCTCGCAATGGCAATCCGCATCCCATTCGCCCGCCTCAACCTCGCAATGGCTCCTACTGCCTCTCCATGCTCTCATTTTCTCTTCTCCCTTCCCCCTCTTCCCTCCCTCTCCCTCCCTCCCTCCTGTATGCTGGGTGCCCCGCTTCTGGCAATGACGTCTGCATCCCATTCGCCCCTCTCAACCTGGACGACAGCATGGGCTTCCTCTGCCTCTCCATGCTCTCATCTTCCCTTCTTCCTTCCCCCTATTCCCTCCCTATCCCTCTCTCCCTCTTGTGTGCCAGTGGCTCTCCATGATCTCATCTTCCCTTCTTGAGTCGACTCAAAAATCGACTTATCACACACGTGCCAGTGGCTCTCCATGATCTCATCTTCCCTTCTTGAGTCGACTCAAAAATCGATTTATCACACACGTGCCAGTGGCTCTCCATGATCTCATCTTCCCTTCTTGAGTCGACTAAAAAATCGACTTATCACACACGTGCCAGTGGCTCTCCATGATCTCATCTTCCCTTCTTCCCTCCTCATGTGTGCTCCCACTCCCCCAGCTTCGTGCTGGCAATGGCAGTGTGCATCCCATTTGCTCGTCTCAACCTAGACGACAACATGGGCTTCCAGTGGCTCTCCATGCTCTTATCTTCCATTCTCTTTCCCTTCTCTCTCTCCTGTGTGCCGGGTGCCCCATTCCCTCAGATTTGTCCTGGCGATGGCAGTCTGCATCCCATTCGCTCGCCTCAACCTAGACGACAACATGGGCTTCCAGTGGCTCTCCATGCTCGCCCAGCTGCTCTTCTCCTTTGAGTTTGCCGCCCAGTTCCTCTCCAACCTCCTCCCCGGCTCCCCCAACTACTGCGCCGGGAATGGGCCTGGCAGAACACCCTTTCTCGGACTCGATATAAGTCAGGTGAGAGTTGTCTTGTACTCGATATAAGCCCGGAAATGGTTGCTCCATGCTCGCCCAGCTGCTCTTCTCTTTTTAGTTTGCCGCCCAGTTTCTCTCCAACCTCCTCCCCGGCTCCCCCAACTACTGCGCCGGCAACGGCCCCGGGAGAACACCCTTTCTCGGACTCGATATAAGCCAGGTGAGGGGTGTACTCCATATAAGACCGTTAAAGGGTTGATCTCCATGCTCGCCCAGCTGCTCTTCTCCTTTGAGTTTGTCGCCCAGTTTCTCTCCAACCTCCTTCCCGGTCCCCTTCCCCTTTTCTTCTCTTTCCCTCACCCATCATTGGTCTCTCATTCTTTCTGCCTAACCAGGTCCTAGGAGTGTGTGTGTTTGCATACTCGTACGTCAGCACCATCCCCTCTGTCTGGCTCGTAGTTTGTGCCTGCTCAAGTAGTGCCTCTCTCTCATTCCCCCTCTCCCCCACTCCTCCTTGTTCCCCCAAACCAGGTGCTAGGGGTGTGTGTGTTTGCATACTCCTACGTCAGCACCATCCCCTCGTGGGCCAATGAGAAGAAGCCAGGTGTCAACGTCAACAGAGCCATCTGGCTGCCTGCTTCCGTTGGCTGTGCCCTCAACATCCTACTTGGTGAGCCGCACACCATCGTACAATGTTACATTGTTACAACGATACTACAGTGATACAAAAGTACACAGGTACACAACTAAATTGACTTTGGAGACGTATCAAGTGCCATCTGGCTGCCTGCTTCTGTCGGATCGGATGCGCCTGCTTAGACGCCTCGATATCATCAAGACGCGGTTACCATCTCACCAAGAATCCTATAACCTGGATGTCTGAGTTACACTCAGCATGCCCCCTATTCCCATGTGCTCCCGTGCCTTGCACTGTACACAACAGGCCTCCTAGGCGCGTGGGCGTACAAGCTAGTGGACGACGCAGGCCACCCGTTCAAGGGCACAGACAACATGCTCAACATGCTGGACGGGCAGGCCGATGCTGCCACTGCATGCGGCCACCCCCATGTGAGATGCTAGGCTAAAGAAAAGTGTATGCTATACAATATACTCGCTAACTCATTTGCACACAATTCAGTCTACATTCCGGCTTTCCTTGGCTTGGCTACATCCCAGGCATCCCCATCCTGGCCATCATGCCCCTTTACAACCTGCGCTCCTCTGGTGACTTTTGAGTCGACTCAAAAGTCACTAAGTCACCTCTTTTGAGTCGACTCAAAAGTCATACCGGGCATCCCCAACCTGGCCGTCATGCTCCGCTACAACCTGCACTCTTCACCAAACCCCTCTTACCCACCCACCCCTCCGCCCCTCCCCTTGCTTTGGGCTACAGGTGGCCCCAGCAACAGAGTTCTCAGTCTACATGCGGGGCTTTTTTGGCTACGTCCCGGCCCGGGCATCCCCATCCTGGCCATCATGCTCCGCTACAACCTTCAGTCCTCACCACCCCCCTCTTACTCTTCTCCCCCCCACTTTTCCTCCCCTCCCCACGCTCTCCTCTCCACCACCCTCTCTCCCCTCCCCTTCCTTTGCTCTCCCCCCTGTTCTTCCCCTCCTCCCCCTCTCCCCTTTTCTGTCCTCCTCCTCCCCTCCCCTCTCCAATGCTACAGGTGGCCCCAGCAACAGAGTTCTCAGTCTACATGCGGGGCTTCTTTGGCTACATCTGGAATCCCCATCCAGGCCATCATGGTGCGCTACAACCTGCAGGCCTCACCAACCCCCTCTTACCATTCCCCCCCCCCCTTTCCTCCTCTCCCTCTGTTCTCTTCTCCTGGCCTCCTCTCCGATTTCTCTCCCCCCCCTCCCCTCTCCCTGTTTTCCCCTGCCCCCTCTCTTCCCCTGTTCTCTCCACCCTACAGGTGGCACCAGCAACAGAATTTTCAGTGTACATGTGGGGCTTCTTTTGCTACATCCTGGGGATCCCCATTCCCCTCTCTCAAACCCACCAGCACCCCTTCCCACCCCTCTCTTTCACCCTACAGGTGGCCCCAGCAACAGAGTTCTCGGTGTACATGTGGGGCTTCTTTGGCTACATCCCGGGAATTCCCATTCTGGCCATCATGGTGCGCTACAACCTGCAGGCCTCGGGTCTCTTCTCCGACTCAGCTGCCTTCTTCTGGGCGGTTGTCGCGCCCTGGCTGCTCACTGCATTTTTCTACCAAGCTCAGGTGAGACTCCAAACCTAAACCCCCAAACCTAAACCTCAAACCCCCAAACCTAAACCTTAAACCCCCAAACCTAAACCTTAAACCCCCAAACCTAAACCTTCAACCCCCAACCCTAGACCGTACGTCTCTTTAGCATGATACAGCCTACAACCTGCAGGCCTCGGGTCTCTTCTCCGATTCAGCCGCCTTCTTCTGGGCGGTTGTAGCGCCCTGGCTGCTCACTGCCTTCTTCTATCAAGCTCAGGTGAGATCCCAACCCTAGACTTTAAACCTCAAACCCTGCCCCTCTTAGCGTGCTACAGCCCACAACCTGCAGGCTTCAGGCCTCTTCTCCGAGTCAGCTGCCTTCTTCTGGGCGGTTGTAGCGCCCGCCCTGGTTACCCACTGCCTTCTTCTACCAAGCTCAGGTGAGACATGAACCCTACACTCTAAACTTTAAGGTTCAACTCTAATCCTTACGTTTACACTCTAATCCTTGAACCCTGCCCCTCTTAGCGTGCTACAGCCTACAACTTGCAGGCCTCGGGTCTCTTCTCCGACTCTGCACCAACCCTGATGAAGCACCCACCAACCCTCCCTTACCCACCATCCCTCCCCTGCACGCACTCTCTCTGCATCCCTCTGCACCCCTCCGCACCCCTCTGCACCCCTCCGCACCTCCCTTCAGGTGCTCGTGCAGCTCTGCAACTGGGTGGCCATCATCTGCCAGGGATTCATTAACTCTGATGAAGCAGCCACATCCCCCCAACCCCTCTGCATCCCTCTGCATCTCTCTCTCAGGTGCTAGTCCAGTTCTGCAACTGGGTGGCCATCATCTGCCAGGGATTCATCAACCTCGTCGTCCCAACGCTCCTCTTCCGGGCCGCACTCATCACCTACCCCACCCCTGAAGAGCTCGAATCCCGGGGCTACCTCCTCGTCTCCTCCTCCCCTCCCTCCTCCACACCCCTCTCCACCACTCCCCCCGCCTCCACACCGCTCCGAACCTCCTCCAGCGCTGATCGGAGCCTCGTGGGGCTGATTCAGAATGTGATTGCGGCACTCTCTCCCAAGCACTCACCAAGTTCGTCTCAAGGAGGAGCGGGAGTTATGGAGAGTGATATGGAAGGGGCGGGTGCTTATAAGCAGATGCCGGATAGTGCGGGAGGGGAGGTGGGGCGGGAGGGGGATGTGATTGTAGAGGGCGCTCGCGTGGTGGTGGATTCGGAGAGTGACAGTGGGAGTGTGAGTGAAGAGGGGGGGAGCGAGACAGAACCTCTCACTGCTGCTGCTGCTGCTGCTGCTGCCGCTGCTGCAACCGCAACTGCCACTCCCGCCACCACCACCACCGCCGCCAACACTACCACTGCCACTGCAAATGCTGCTGCACCAGCCGTGGCTGTAGAGGTGGATCGGAGCAGAGGGACAGCAGGACCAACAACACAACGCCAATCAGCTAGTCGAACAGCAAGAGCAGCAGCAGGGGCAGCAGATCCTGTGGCTCTGATTGGTCCAGGTCAGAAGGTGGTGCTCGAGCCACCTGTGCAAGCAGTGCCTACGTGGCTGTGTGTGGACCCCTTGGTATTCGCCAGCGCGATGACGTGGACAACAGGGCTACTGGTAGCTGTCAGCATCGCCATCACCCTCCTCTCTCCGTGACCCTGCTTCCCAGAGCTCTAGAGCCCGTAGAGCTCGTAGACTAAAGCTACTGGAAGTGCCGCTCATCCCCCCTCGATCACCTCTCTCCTCCCTTTTCCTCCTCCACCGCCGGACACGCTCATACACAGCCAGACAGGCTCCCCTACAGAAGGGACAACACGGGCTGCTTGTGGTTGGTTAACGCACATACACTCCGCATCCTGTGGGATTGCATGAGACAGGTTACCCCTACATTTAGCATAGATAGACAGAAGAACATTGGGTGATTAGACCAGGGGTTGGCGGAGGGAAGCTGGCAGCAAGCTGGTGTGGCCAGCTTCCATTTTGGTTTTCCCTTGCACTCTTGGCGAATCTTGTTTGGTCCAGCAGAATGTGCCTGCTCAGCAACGTCTGCTGTGCTTGAGTGTGATGGTGACTGGAAAGGCTTTGCACGATAATGTAATCACATTGATAAATCTCATCCCGTACCATACCATACGACCACTGTTGAAGGGTGTCGGTTGGCTAGCGTAGTGACACCAGTACGGTAAACTGGGTACTGTTCTAGGGAGCATGGGGGGAAGAGGGGAGAGACTATAGAGCACTGAGTGATGGCCACTTTTTAGAAAGGAAAATTGTGTGGTCTGAAAAGTAACACTCTTTCTTTATATAGATGCAATTGTACCTTTCGCAAATGAATTTGTGCCATTCTTGTCGAGTTTGTGGGTTTCTCTACAAGTAGGTCAAGTCCGAAGAAGAAAGGAGCAGGTTGATGGAAGAGCAGCAGCATTTTTGGTGACAAACGCATCCATATCGAGTTGAGCACGTTGGAAGCGCGTTGCGCGCCCTACACGGCACGCACAATGCCAGGCCAACACAGCCATGGGGGGCAACCATAATGCGGAATGCAGGCAGCCATTTTGGAGCGCGAAGTTGAGACGACTATGGGAACCGCGTTTGCAACTTAGGTTTCGGGCGTCGCCAAAATTATGGGCGCCGGTTCGGAACATTCGTTGCCAAGCGATTCTCAAGAGCTCGTGCTTACGGGCGTGCGGCGTAGTTATGGGCGTCCCGGCCCAGAACCATTTTTGGGCGTGCGGGCCTGTAATCATGTGCAGCATAATCACTGATTATTGCATGGGCCGAGAACAAATATTGCCGCGCAGCGAGAACTGCAGCAACGCCATCGCAGCCTCTAGGTCTAGTCTCTCTGGGAGTAGTAAGCACGGGCTGTATGGAATACATGCTCTCTAACATATGCTACATACCCGTACTACAAGTAGTGGGCCTCCCATCGAGCATCGAGAAAAAGCACTCACCTCGTGAACTATCTTCTGTGAGACTGACGCGTACCAGTTCCGACACGTGCTTGCCACTTCTCAGGAACCCTGCCATCTGCAGCCCTACCGTGCAGTATCAATCCGACTGTCTCGTTCGCCTCGCTAACTTTGGGTTGCGTCAGTTCGTCGCTTCTAAAGCGCCAGTCCATTTCGACTCCTGAATCCGACAGTCCAGTTCTCCCCGCGACCCACCGCGGAATCGCCGCTTTTGGTCCGCGACGCTAGTGCTGCCACGCCTCTGCAGTGTTCCCGCTCGCCACCACCACTCGCGATGATGGCGGGGGATCATTGCAAAGCCGCAGCCGCGCTACTTGTCGTCGTGATCCTCATAGGTACACGCCCCTCGCTATGCGTGTGAGAAGCTCATGCTTCTGTGATGAATCTTCTGTGATGAATCTCACAGAACGTTCCATCATCGTGAGTCCATCATCGCAAATCGCAATCACTTTTTAAAGTTCTCCATGTTTTTTTCATGTTTTCTCATGATTTTCAGAACCCAGCTCGTACTCTTAAAAGAGATTGCGCTCATGATCATGTCGCTCGCAACTCCCTCGTGGCTGATTGTTGCCCTTCCTCCCGTCACTCTCTCGCTGTCTTGCCAATCTCCCTACCCTGTGTGACCTCCGCGCAGCGAGTGAGGTGGGAGTGTCGCTGGGAGCACCTGCCGCCCAGAAAAACAGTTTCGACCTGGATCCAACAGGTAACTCGTCCTAATCTCTTCCTAATCTCCTCTAGGCTGAGCTTAGGCTAGTAGGGAATGAATAGGTAAGAAATTGTTATTCAAACCTGAGCGTACGTGCGTTTCGGCCGGTGGCCTTCATCAGCGCTCTCAGAGTTACATGAAAGAAACTACTCCTTATCTACTCCCATCTACCGTGCCCAGCACTCAACCAAGAAACAAGAGATCCAGTGCGGCTCGTCATCGCGGCTCGCTAGCTGGCTGTACAACATTTACAATGTCAAGCAAACATGCAGGTTGGTGGGACGAATTCAATCCCATCAACTCACGGGGTTGGTGTATCCCCGTTTCTGAAACCTCGCTTTCACCAAGAGGTTGCGTACCCTCTTTGGTAAATGCCAACATACTAACATACGTGGGAGGGAAATGTGTTGCAGAGCGTGTTTTTTGAGAATTCTCAAAAAACCCCCCAGCCCCAAGTCCAAAGTCCTTGGACACCTTCTTACCCTAAGGGACTGGGGGACTTCCCTCTCTTTGTGTCGTTGGCAACTGCGAAGTAGAGCCGGCCTGTCTTGATATGTGACACTGTTGAAAATAGGCCTGAGGAAGTAGTCAGGGTACCCTCTGGCCTTCAGCCTCTCAAAGAAGAGGACTTTCCTCTCCCAAAAGGTCTTGAATGATGAGTTCCACAGGCAGTGACGTTTCAGCTCACTTGTGATGAATCCTCTTTTACACTCCTTCGAGTGAAAAGAGGAAAAAGGAATGTACAGATACCGATTCATCGGTTTCTGAAAGCTAGCCACATCCAGAATTCTGGATTTGTGGAAGCGTTCCCCCTTGTAGAGCTGAAGGTTGAGGAAGGCAATCCTTTCCTCGCTGATTTCCCACGACAACTTGATCGTGGGCCGAAGGGAGTTGAAGGCTCCTAAGAATCCCTGGAGAGTCTCTACACTCCCCTCCCAAAGGATGAACCCATCGTCTATGTATCTAACATGACAAAGTGGCTCTATGGTCACCTTCCGCGTCAACTCCTCATCCAGCCAGCTCATATAAAGGATGGCGAAGACAGGAGCGACCGGGGTTCCCATTGCCGTACCTCTAACCTGTTTATACACAACATCATCAAATTGTACATAAGAATTGCACATCACCCATCTAAGAAGAGAAATGATCAACGGCCTAAGAGGATGTCTATCTCTGTTGAGAATTCTGTCCACAGCTTCAATTCCCTCAAAGATTGGGATGGATGGATACAAACTGCTCACGTCATACGTACAAAGAATCACAGAAGAAGGAACCTGCTGCTGCTCGAGCTGAAGGAGGAGACTCTGGCTGTCCCGAAGGTAAGTCTTCTGGTTTAACACCAAGGGGCGGAGTTGACAATCCAACCATCTCGAAGCATTGGCAGTGATCCATGAATGGGAGGCTGCAATCAGTCTTCCAACAGGCACTTTCTTGTGCATCTTCAAAAGGATGTAAAAGAAGGCAGGTTGCCAGCCACGGGTTGGAGAATTCTCCAAAAAGTCCCATATCTTTCTTGGAAGGCATGGGAGAAACTCAAACCGAATGTGGGAGAGAGATTCCAAAAATACAGACAAGGGAACGGTGTCCACCTGCCTATAAACCTCCGCATCAGAAAGGTGAGCAAGTGCCTGCTGCTGATAAAAGCCTCTATCCATAACCGTGATACCTAAATTCTTATCGGCAGGTTTCACAACAATCGACTCATCGGAAGCAAGGGATCTCAAAGCACGCCTCACCATGGGAGAGATGTTTGAGCCAGCCCTAGGAGGAACCTTCAACAAAGTTTGTTGAAGCTCCACCCTATGTTGCTGCATCATAATCTCAAGAAACATGTTCCTTTTGTCTAGAGGAACATCCCAAGATGGGTTAGGAATCCTAAAACTCTTGGGAATCTCCGAATCTCCAAAGAACTCTCTCAGTCTCAAGTTGCGGCAAAAAGAATCATAGGCAGAAAGTACCTCTTCATCAGATGTGAATTGAGAAGCAGTTGGTGTCGGGATGAAGTTCAGCCCCAGCGCTAATGCTTTCTCTTCAACCGCTGTCAGTTTTCGGCTACTCAAGTTGAAGATGCTCCGATTCCTAACCCTTCTTTTGAGCTGAGATTCCGTCATTTGCCCAAAATAGAAGAGTTGGAGATCCCGTTCACTTAATTCACTCAGCTCCTGTCCCATGAAACGCCTCTGCCCTGAAACATTCCCCTTCCTCCGTATTCGTCTCCTCTTCCTCCGCCTCTTCCCCAGCCCCTCCCCCAACCCCTGCCTCTCCCTCCCCCCCCCCTCCCTCCCCCGTTTTTTGGAAATCCAGAATCTGGAACCTGGGGTCCCTGAGACCCATAACCGGGAGAAGCTTGCCACTGGTTAGTCCATGCGCCGGGTGAAGGTTTGGTCGAGTACTGGTTAGTGGGTTGCGGTTGTGGTTGCTGCTGTTGAGGCGCCTGCTGCTGTCGAGTTTGCTGTTCAGTTGGCTGTGCTTGCTGTGGAGCCTTTGGAGGTGCCTGTTTCTGTACTTCCGGCTTCTTGAATAGCTGTTTCTCCACTGCTTCAAGTCGCTTGGCAAGGTCAGAGTTTGACTTGTTAACAATCTCAGACACTGTAGGTTCCACCTCCATATTCTCGGCTGCCGTTTTAGCAGAAGTTTTGCGTTCTGTCTCACGCTGTGCTGCTTCTTGCTCATTGATGTAAGAGAAGGTTTCCTCAACCGTAATGGTCTTGATCCGTTCCGCGAACATGGTGAGCAGCTTCGGTTCCAGGTGGCTGAAGCTTTCAGTGAAGATGGCTGAAGGTCCCATTTCACGAATCTTCTGTAGCTGCTGGCGAAACTCTTCCTGAGCTGTGCCCAAACTGGCCGTCAGCTTTTGCAGCTCCTTCTCCTGGAGTTTGATGAGGGTTTCGAAACATGTCTTATGATAATCACGTTCCAGCCTCTTGAACTCATCTCCCTCCATCTTGATTGCCGGATCATTACCATAGTATGTCATAGGGGCTGATTTGAAGCCTTTGGGAAGTCTTCCCTCATGAAACATCTGCTTAAGCCGCTTCACCTTTCTTGCAAGCTTCAGCTGCTTCACCGTCCTATCACGAAAAAGCTTGCACTTATGCTCCAGTTGATTAAGGAATACATCCGGGATTTTCTCCCCGAAATTTGAAGAGACACTCCCTGCAGATGTAGAACACTGTGGTAATTTCTGTGCTGCCAAGAAAGCTTCAAAAGTGGTCGCAAATAGCTGTTGCTGCTGCTGAAACCACTGTTGCTGTTGAGCGTGAAATGCTTCTTGCGATTCCCCAGACCCTCCAGCTGTAGAGGGATTCGCTGCTGCATGTGTCGCAGCTGCGTGTGCCGCGGATTCCGTAACTACTCGTGCTGCTTCGGCAGCTGCCGCAGCCGTCGCCTGTGCCTGTGCAGCTTCCGCTTGCTGCATCGCGTGCGCATGCGCCTGTGCTGTCTCAGCTTGCTGCATCGCGTGCGCATGCGCCTGTGCTGCCTCAGCTTGCTACATCGCGTCTTCTAACGATGGAGTGATCGCACCAGAGTCTTCGTTCGAATCTGGAACGATTTCTATCTGTGCTAACTGTGTCTTCGTCGGATCCGCAGAAACTGGAATCGAGGCTGAATCAGCCTGATTTTTTGCGGTCGAAGTCCCTGTGACAAGATTCTTAGTAACGCCCGTAGCTGAGTAATCTCTAATCGTAGGAGGTAAATCTTCGATCGCAAGCGGCAGATTTACGCGAGATCCGGATAGCAGAGAACTAGCAGTGACAAAACCAGGTCGTTGTGGTCCAGTAGTCGTAATCTTCTTGTCTATATGAGCGGGTTTCCCAAACCGTCTAGGAAGCGCAACCTCCGGCGATCTCAGCTCAGAAGTACGTTTCCAGCGACTTTCGTCAGTCATAACACTTCTAGCACGTCTACTACTAGGAACGAGTAGTCCGGGTTCAACATGTCCTGAAATTCGAAGAGATGATCTCTTGTAGCACAGAAAAACAGTTTCGACCTGGATCCAACAGGTAACTCGTCCTAATATCTTCCTAATCTCCTCTAGGCTGAGCTTAGGCTAGTAGGGAATGAATAGGTAAGAAATTGTTATTCAAACCTGAGCGTACGCGCGTTTTGGCCGGTGGCCTTCATCAGCGCTCTCAGAGTTACATGAAAGAAACTACTCCTTATCTACTCCCATCTACCGTGCCCAGCACTCAACCAAGAAACAAGAGATCCAGTGCGGCTCGTCATCGCGACTCGCTAGCTGGCTGTACAACATTTACAATGTCAAGCAAACATGCAGGTTGGTGGGACGAATTCAATCCCATCAACTCACGGGGTTGGTGTATCCCCGTTTCTGAAACCTCGCTTTCACCAAGAGGTTGCGTACCCTCTTTGGTAAACGCCAACATACTAACATACGTGGGAGGGAAATGTGTTGCAGAGCGTGTTTTTTGAGAATTCTCAAATCGTGTTTTTTGAGAATTCTCAAAACGTGTTTTTTGAGAATTCTCAAAAAACAGCGCGACTGCTGGCGGCGGCAGCGACTTCACTGATACCACGGGCGCGAGCAACCCGACAATTGCCCGTGGTATTAGGGGCGCGGTGAGCGCCGCGAGCGCGGCGAGCACGGGGCGCGCGGGGAGCACGGGGAGCGCGGTGCGTGACATGGTGAGCGTGGAGCTGCGTGCGCGTGGGCATGGTGGTGCTCGCCGGCTCGCTCGCGCAGCCGCGCTCCGTCTCCATCGACCTGGGCTCTGCGCGCCCGTGCCCGATATCGCGGGCGCGAGCGGCGGCTTGGCAAGCGGCGCGGTGGATGCGCCGGTGTGGTGGGACGTGTTTTCGGATCGCACGGTGTGCAACGCGGTGCAGCTGTTCGCGTCGCCTGATTGCTCAGGTGCTGCGGTGGCGAAATACCCGTTTGCAGGGTACATGAGGTGAGAAGTACCTATTTTCAGGGCACAGCGGCAGCTAAATAGCCAATTCCCCTCATGCCCTTGTGCACCCATTTCCCACTCTCCAACCCACCCCACCCACCCACACCCCTGTCGCGTGCCCTCGCCTCCCCTCTCCCATTCGCCCCTTCGCCGGTGCACATGTGACCAGTGCAATCAAACCCTTACCCTATCCGCCTCTCCCCACGTCCTGAACCGTCGTCCCAACCCCCCACCGCCCCCCACCCGCTGTGTGTGTGTGAACAAAGCAAACCCAACCCCCCCTCCCGTGCGCCCCTCCCTCTGTGCGTGTGTGAGCAGTCCCATCAAGCTGCGCGCATCTGTAAAGTCCATCCGCTGCGTTATCAGTGCGTACCCTGCTGCTGCCACCACGCTTCTGCTGCCACCATGCTTCTGCTGCTATTGCCATCTGTTTTCCCGCGTTCCCTGCTGCTGCCATGCGTTGGTCTTGCTACTGCATCCATCACCATTCATGCCCTGCTGCCACCTTACTTCTGCTGCACCATGCTTCTGCTGCTACTGCCATCTATTTCCCTGGGTGCCCTGCTGCTGCCATGCATCGGCCTTTCTGTTGCTCCTGCCATCTATCCCCGTGCATGCCGTGATGCTACCATGCATTGAGATAACTGCTGCATATATCGCCATTCATGCCCTGCTGCTACCAAGCTTCTGCTGCTATTACCACCATTTTCCGTGGGTGCCCTGCTGCTACCATGCATGATGCTGCATGTTGAGCAGCGCTGCTGCCATATGTGCCCTTCTACTGCTATTACCCTTTATTTCCCTGCGTGCCGATTTTTGAGTCGACTCAAAAATCGACTCAGCACATGCTGCTACCATGCATGATGCTGCATGCTGAGCAGCAGTCGCTGCTGCCATCTGTGCCCTTCTGCTGACATGCCTGCACCTTCTGCTGACATGCCTGCACCTTCTGCTGACATGCCTGCACCTTCTGCTGACATGCCTGCACCTATTGCTGACATGCCTGCACCTATTGCTGACATGCCTGCACCTTTTGCTGACATGCCTGCACCTTTTGCTGCAATCCATGCCTCTTCTCCTCATGCCTCTCAATCCATCCCTCTCCCCATCCCTCTCACCCCATCTCTCTCCCCTATCCTCCGATGTGATTATGTGATCCAGACAACATCTGCCAGCGTGCCAGGTGCCCGGAACACTCCACATGCATCAAGACCAACGATTACAGGGGGGTGGCGTGCCAGTCCGCCCAGGGCTATCGTGACGTCTACGGCCGATGCAGACCCGAATAACCTCCCGTTCTGGGTAAGCCCTTGCCTTGAATGTTCATCGAGACAAACGATTATAGTGAGGAGGGGGCATGCCAGTGCGCCCAGGGCTACCATGATGTCTACTACCAATGCAAACCCCAATAACCTCCCCTCTCTCCTGTAAGCCAATGTTGAGATGTCTCCCTTCCTCCCATCCTGTCCTCCCTCCCTCTCTCCCACTCCATTGTGCCCTCTTCTTCTCTCCTTTTCTCTTTTCTCCCCTATCTCCACTCGCCTCTCCTTCTGCCATCTTGTGCCACACTACCTATGTACTCATCTGATAATCCATTCTTGCGTTGTCTGCTGCAGAAACCTCCACCACTGCACTGCCCCTCAAGCCCCTCTAGTGCTGTACGCTCGAAGCCCCTGGACAGCCCCTTAAAAAACCTCTGGAGAGCTTCTCGAGCCCCTCTAGTTCTGTACTGGAAGCACTAAGGAGCAGAACCCCTGAATAGCAGATCCTTTGGAGCCTCTGGAGTGCCGCTTGGGAAAACCAGAGCAGCGGGTGCAACAATTCGCTGGGAGCTTCATTAATAACTCTCGGGGTACCATTTCACTCACTAGGCTATTAATGCCCTTAGGTTGGCATTAATGATCTGAGGTTATTGATATTGTGATTTGTAGAATACCATGTAGAGGATGTCCTTTCGTCATGTAGGATCACATCAACATCGTATCATATTAAGTATGCTGGACATCGCGGGCGCGACGAACGGGGGCGCGGTGCAGCTGTTCACGTCGCCTGACTGCACTGGTACAGCGGCAGCAAAACACCAAAAACACAGGGTACATGAGGTGAGCATTCATGAGGTGCATGGGGTGAGCACTCACGGGGTATATGAGGTGAGTGTTCAGGATTCACTCGTTCGTTACTTGGCTAGCACGCCCCGATTTTCAACATGCCACCATCCCCCTCGTGCACCGATTCCCCTCATGCCGCTATGCGCTTCTTCCCCACCACACAATCCCAACTCCCTCACCTACATGTGCTCGCCACCCCTTCACCATGCGTCCCTTCCCCTGCGATTATGTGAGCAAACCCATCAATCCCCCCTCCCATGCGCCCCTCCCATGCTCCCCTCCCATGCGCCCCTCCCATGCGCCCCTCCCATGCGCCCCTCCTATGCATCCTCCCTCTGTGTACGTGTGAGAGCAGTGTCACCAAGTTGGACGCATAAGTTAAGTCCATCCGCTGCGTTCTCGGTGAGTGCCCTGCTGCCATCCATCGCATGCTGCCCTGCCCTGCCTCTGTCATGCCTTAGGGTTTCTGCTGCATCCATCGCCGTGCCATGCATGCCCTGCTGCAGCCATGCATGCCCTGCTGCAGCCATGCATGCCCTGCTGCTGCCATGCATGCCCTGCTGCTGCCATGCATGCCCTGCTGCTGCCATGCATGCACTGCTGCTGCCATGCATGCCCTACTGCAGCCATGCATGCCCTGCTGCAGCCATGCATGCCCTGCTGCAGCCATGCATGCCCTGCTGTAGCCATGCATGCCCTGCTGCAGCCATGCATGCCCTGCTGCAGCCATGCATGCCCTGCTGCTGCCATGCATGCCCTGCTGCTGCCATGCATGCCCTGCTGCTGCCATGCATGCCATGCTGCTGCCATGCATGCTGCTGCAGACGGAATGAGCGAAGTTCAGTCGCTTCGCTGCTTCCTTCCATGCATGCCCTGCTGCTGCTATGCATGCTTTTGAGTCGACTGAAAAGTCAGTTCTTCTTGAGTCGACTGAAAAGTCAGTTCTTTTTGAGTCGACTGAAAAGTCAGTTCTTTTTTAGTCGACTAAAAAGCCTGCTGCTGCAGACCGAATGAGGGAGGTTCAATCGCTTTGCTGCTTCCATCGGTGCCCTGCTACTGCTGTGCAAGCGCTTTCTGCTGCAATTTATCCTGCTTTCCCAATTCCTCCCCCCCCATGCCTTTCCCCCCATGCCTCACTCTCATCCATGCCCCTCCCCCCATCCCCCTCTCATCCATGCCTCTCTCCCCCATGCATTTCCCCCCCATCTTTCAGAACCCATGCCTCTCTCCCCATTCCTCTCAACCCATGCCTCTCCCCTCATCTGACTAATCCCATGCCTCTCCCCTCATCCATCTCACCCCATGCCTCTCCCCTCATCCTCCCATGAAGCCAGACAACATCTGCAGCCGTGTCAAGTGCCCGGCACACTCCACGTGCATCAGGACAAAGGATGACCAGAAGGTGACTTTTGAGTCGACTCAAAGTTAACTTTCCCCCCATCCCTCCCCTCCCATGCCCCTCCCATGTGATCCAGACAAAATCTGCAGCCGTGTCAAGTGCCCGGCACACTCCACGTGCATCAGGACAAAGGATGACCAGGAAGTGGGGTGCCAGTGCGCCCAGGGCTACCAAAACGTCTACGGCCAATGTCAGCCGCAGTAGCCTCCCCTCTCACCTGTAGGCACTGCTACTATGCTGAGAGCCACTGCTATGGTGATAGACACAGCACAACCCCCAGTTCTGTACTGGGCCCTAATAAGCAGAGCCCCTGGATAGAAAAGCTTCTACTGAGCTTTGCAGTGGCAGTGCTGCTACGAATGTCCGGGTGTGCCACTTGGAGCAGTGGGGGCCACAATAGCTCATGTCAAAACATATTGTTTGTTCATGTTACTTTAGGTTGTGTAGGGGTCACACCTTAGAGGGTACAACCCAACTCTCTCGACATCCTTGTACCCCCTCCCTTTTACCTAATTGACACTTCTTCCTAGCTAATCTCGACATGCTATTAAGAGCAAAAACATTATGACCGAATTTTTGAAAGGGCCCACCACTACTATTTCGATCTACTGCCCGAGTCGCGCCCCTAGAAGAAAAACGAAACGCGAAAACGTGCCCTAGGCGAAACGGTTCAATTTTTCTGCCCTAGGCGCGATTTTTCTGCCTTAGTCACGTGCGACCCACCCCTGACCGCGCCCTGGCTGCCCTGTGTGCCTCTCGCGCGGCCCGTCAGCCCCTACGCCCGGTCCCCCCTCGTTCCTGCTGCTGCGCGCGCCACTCACGCTGCCCGCCAGCCCCTAGCACGCACCTGCTGCGCGCTCCTTTTCAGCTGCTCCGGGCGCACCTGTTGCGCGCCCCTAGGTGCTAGCTCACAGCCCGCACACGCCTACTGCTGCTGTGCACCGGCTGCTACTGCTACGTGCCGCTGCTGCTCTGCCACAGTGTCCGAGCCGCGCCACCCAGCCCGAATTGTCACTGCTAGTGCCACTTCAACTAAAACTGCTACAGCTAGTACTACAGCTGCTACTGCAACTACCACTGCTACAGCTAGTGCTGCACTACACATTGCTGCTACTACGGCACTTGCTACAGCTGCTACTGACGCTACTGCTGCTACAGCTAGAGCTACTCACTGCTGGCGCTGTAGGAGCTGGAGGTGCTGGAACTACTCCTGACAGTCACTGTCTGTCATGGCCACTTCCGCGGCAGTTGCTGCGGCCAGGGGTGGACAGCAGCAGGCACTGCTTCTCCCGGACGACCCCACCCCTCGGTAGCTTCGTGAGTGGGTTATTCAGCGAGGTCGTCCTGGTGGTGGGGGTTATCGTTCTGTTAGGACCGCTGCTCCAGGTGTTACTGAGTCTGCTGCCGCTCTAGGTGCCCGTGAGTCTACCAACGCTCTAGGTGCTAGTGCGTCTACTACAACAGGTACTGCCTCAGCTGAGGACTTGCACACTTTCACGCTTGATTCAGGCGCGTCACGTTGCTTCTTCCGTGATTGCACCACAGTCACACCACTCACAACACCTATCCTAGTCTCACTGGCTGACCCCTCTGGGGGCCCAGTGGTTGCGAGAACCTCCACAGTCCTCCCTTGTCCAGCAGTCCCCTCCGGCTCTTTGTCAGGTCTCCACCTCCCCACGTTCTCGACGAACTTGGTAAGCAACGCTGCCATTCAGGATGTCTGGGTTGATACCTTTATTCCTGGAGGGCAGCGTGTGGCGATCTGTACGTGCTCCCAGACTGGCCGCCACTTGGCTATGTTCACTCGACAGCCTGGGTCTAGTCTGTACACACTGACCACTGCGTCTGCACAGGTGGCTGAGTCAGGTCAGGTAACTGCGTCGAGTCGAGCATCTGCGTCAGGGCAGTTAGCTGCGTCTTGCTCGTGCAGAGTACTCACGCACGAGACTCAGCGCTAGCACCACCGTCTTGGTCACCCCTCCCTGCAGCGTCTGCGCGGCATGCACTCCCGGCTCCTGGTCTCTGGCCTCCCTGAGACCCTGCCCCCCCTCCCGCGCTCGCTTGCGCCGCCGTGCCTTCCTTGCGTCGAGGGGCGGCAGCGTGCCGCTCCTCACTCCTCTTGGTTTCCTTTGACCACAGCTCCTCTGCAGACTCTCCACCTGGACGTGTGGGGCCCGGCCACCATCGGTGGAACGGACCAGGAGCGCTACTTCCTATTGGTTGTTGACGACTACACACGCTACACTACCGTCTTCTCCTTGCGTCGCAAGGCGGACGTCAGTGGTGTTTTGATCCCCTGGATCCGTGCTACTCGTCTTCAGCTGCACGAGCGCTTTCAGCAGGACTTCCTAGTCCTGCGTCTGCACTCTGACAGGGGTGGTGAGTTCAGCTCTGGCGTCCTTGAGACGTTCTGCCAGGATGAGGGCATCGCCCAGTCGCTCACGCTTCCGGCCTCTCCGCAGCAAAATGGGATCGCTGAGCGTCGCATTGGCCTGATCATGGAGGTTGCTCGTACCTCCATGATCCATGCGGCTGCTCCGCATTTCCTGTGGCCGTATGCGGTCCGATACGCCGTGCATCAGCTCAACCTCTGGACCCGTGTCTCTGCTCCAGAGACCTCGCCCACACTCCGTTGGACGGGACAGCCTGGTGATGTGTCGTCGTTTCGGGTCTGGGGCGCGCTCTCCCTTGTTCACGATACCGAAGCGAGCAAGCTCTCTCCTCGCACTCTCCTCTGTGTCTTCCTAGGTTTCCCCACCGACGCTCCACCCTGGCAGTTCTACCACCCTGCCTCGCGTCGTGTGCTGTCCTCTCATGACGTCACATTTGACGAGTCGGTCTGTTACTACCGACTTCACCCGCACGCGTCCCACCCGGTCCCCCTCGCACCTCTCTTCCTGGTACCAGTCCCCCCCCGGTAGACCCTCTTCCCCCACATGGTCCTGCTCCCACAGGTGTGTCCCAAGTAGACCCACCCCCCTTGGATGAGCCAGTTGAGATCTCTTCTGACTCCTCCGACTCACCTGAGGGGGGTGACGCCGTCGCCGACGACACGGCGACCACTCGCCACACTCTGTCAACGGGAGCGTTGTAAGGCCCCGTCCTCGCTTGGGCGAAGCCAACCTTGTGGTCGGATGTGCGAGGGTTGCAGCTGACCTGCAGCAGTGGGCACGGGGGCCACTGCAAGGGCGCCGAGCAGGAGGACGCCGCCCTGGAGGCCTGGTTGGCGTGCCGGACACCTGGACGGCGTCTTGGGAAGCTGGACGCCGAGCTGGGCATCGCCACGACCACCCGGACGTCTGGTCGACGTCGTGGGCGTCTGCACGGCGTCCGGGGGTCCGGACGCCGACCTGGGCGTCGGGTCCCGACACCGACCTGGGTGTCTAGTCGGCGTCCTGGGAGGAGGGACGCTGCTCTGGAGGCTTTGGTCGGCGTCCTGGGCGTCTGGACGCCGACCTGGGGATTCCGTGGCGTCCTGGGTGCGCCTGGACGCCGGACTAGGGACGCCGGGCATGCGTGACCGGCTACGGACTGCGCGAGTCGACCAGGCGTGGTTGCCCGGTCGATCGGGATACCCGGGCGACATGCGCGAGTGTCGCCAGGGTGGAGATTGCGAGACCGACCTCGGGGGTGGTATCCCGAGGTCGACGTGGCTGGTGGACACAGTCGCTGGCGTGGAGTCTGCCAGGCGTCTGCGTTGTGCACGTGACAAGGAAGTGCGCACCAACCAGCTCCGCCCACCTGCGAAGCAGGTGCACCGTTGTCCTGCGGGTGCAACGCTGTGCAGCCGGCTTGCTGCAGCACAAGCACACCGTGGACTTGCAACGTTGGCGAACCGCTGCTCTGCAACGCTGGAGCGGTGCGAGCGCTGCTGCGCTGGAGCGCGGTCGACCGTGCTGCGTTGGAGGTTGACCAGCAGCCTAGCTAGCACTGATGTAGTCAGTGATGCCAATGTTGTTTCTATCATTGTTTTGAACTTTTCCTAGTGAAACTCTTGCCAACTTTCCCCGTGAACTAGCAAGTAGTGTATGCACAAGGAAAACGACTAAGGACTAACGAACGCAGAGATCACACGAGCACACGTGCCTAGCCCGTAGTCTATCTCCCGTTGCAGCAGTTATCTCCGCATGGTGCGGTGAGCGTGGAGGACACCGTGACGTAGTTCAGTCTAGCCGACTTAGCACATACCGATCGTGTTCGTCGACCGGCAGCCGTGCAGTCACTAGCGTGCACGTAGGCGACGCCGAGGTGATGGATACCCTGGAGGGACTGCTGGAGGATGCGAGGAGACGCCATGAGGCCCAAGAGTATGGGGCGATACCCTGGGCAGTCGTCGAAGCCGGACTCCGCTCCGTGTGGGCGGCGGAGCACCCCCCTTCTCGACCTGCCTCTCCTCGACCGGTGAACAACGACGGCGGCGTCGACGTGGGTGTCAACGCCGGTAGAGGTCAGGTCGGCAGTAGTGTAGGAGGCACGTCGAGGCAACGAGGTGTGATACACGCCGGTGAAGCCGGCGGCGTTCAGGCGCGAGGGATGCTGTCGTCGGCGGCTGCAGGCTCCTCACATGGTGACGCCGGTGGGCGTCGAAGTGGGCTGTCGCCGATGTCGGCGTCCCAGGTGACGGCAGGTGGGATTGCGCCGAGCTACGGCTACTTCAAGTTTACGCCGGTCAGGATCTCGGTCACCCCTCCGCTGGTCGGTCGACCCGACATTCTCACCTGGAAGGAAGCCATCGAGCCCCAGGTGGAGATGGCCGGGCTGATCGGCTTCGCCCGAGGAACCGTGGCAACGCCGGGGGAGCACCACCCCGACTTGCGGGCGGAGTTTCGCGCCGTGGAGCTGTTGACCTTCACGGTCATCTCGCGGTGCTGCTCGCCGGGCGTGCAGATCGCCTTGAAGTGGTGCGGGCGATCGTCTCGAAGTCAAAGT